TCAGACTTGAGGTGGTGGTTTATCCTATTGGCCTGCCTTCTGGGGAGGGGCCAGTCAGCTGGCTCACTGGCTGGCATTCTTTCGCTTAGTATCCTCCGGCATTTCAGATTAAATTTTCTGCATAAAAGATTGTCTTGCTCACTCAGAAAATGCAGCAAACAGGTGTCTTTGGGTTAAATTGTCTTAAGAAGATTCTTGTTCTCCAGGGCCTGCAGGCTTCAGTGCTATAGTCGTGTCCAGCTGTCTGCTGATTCCCAGCTTCCCTTTTTTTGCTTTATGCCAGCTAAGCTTGTCATTAACCACAATGCCTCTTGGCACATTCTGGTGTCTCTCATTCTAATATGTTCACAGGGGACATGCGATGTTGTTCAGATCAGCTCTGGCAGAGCCCTGGAGCCTGACAGCTAATAGCTGTCTCTCTCTGGTTTGCCTGATGTGTGCATTTAATGTTTGCCTTTTTTTGTTGTTGTCTTTTACATTTGGCTTCTTTATACCAATTTTGCATTCTGCCTCACATGTATCGGTCAGTCAGGGAAGCCTTCTGAAAATTATTCTTATGTCCAAACCAATGTGTGATCACGTTAGTACAGAGTCAAGGATTTACACCCTTGACTCCTACCCTGAGCATTTCTTTCCTGGATAAAATCTTGGGTCAGCTTCTGCTTCTGAAAGTTTCTCCTCACAGGTTTCTTTCTTTCTTTCTGATGGTAAAAAGCACATAAAACTTAACCATCCTAACCATTTTTCAGTCCTCACAGGTGTCTTTCCATACCCCTGACATGTGAGAGCCTGGCACAGTAGTCCTCTATGAAACTCAGCGGCAGATTTGGGTGGACATTTCTGTGACTGTGGCCCCAGGGCTGGGGCTGGGACATGCCCGGGGCCCTGTGCCCTGGTCGTGAGGATGGCTGCTGATAAGCCCACACCTCCATGGAGCTGCCCAGGGAGGGAGGAGCTCGGAGGAGAGCCTGGGCTGTAACTCATCTCCCACGGAGTTGTTCTGGCTGCCAGTGGTTGCCTGGCTTTTGTAACCGTCGCCAGTATGGAGCTGCACTCTCTAATCCCCTTCAACCAATGAATCATTCTTTGGTGTGCTCTGTGTGAAACTTCCATGAAACCGCAAGACCCTTTAGTGAGGTTTCTGAGTGACTGAGCTGCATGGGGCTGTAGGATGTGACTGTTCACAAACGCTGATACACTTTGTTCTTTAGATAAAAATGACTTTTATTAGACCACATCCCCCCTTTCCTTTTGAATTGCTCTCAGAAAATTGGCCAGACACCCACCTGCAACTGATCTTAGGTTCTTGAAGCAGAATCATTTGTAGCGAGGGCTGCATCCCCCACCGTGCCCATGGTAAAAGGCCCCGAGGAGCAAGGGGGTGAGAAGCCCCCAGCCGCAGGTCTGTTTTAGTTAGTGTGGTTAACTGGGCTCAGCAAAGCAACATTAAACGTGGCTTCTCCAGAAAACATAAAAAGTAAAATTCTGTGTAGCGATTGCTGAAGTCTACCATGCCTGCAGCCAGAGATGAGTATTTCACTCTTTTGGGTGAAACACAGCAACACGAATGTCCATTTTCAGTCATTCTGGAAAGAATTCAGGCAAAGGGACCCTGGTTTGGCCCTGCTAACTGTCCATGTGTCTGAGTCACTGGGTCCCTGGGCAGCCCTCTTACAGGGACACAGGGTGGTGGTGGAGGCAGCCTTTCACTGGTGGTGTCCACAGTCCATGTTCCAACTGAGACCAGTTTGCTGTCATGCATTTTCATCACCACATTTATTTTTTTTGAGGTGAAAAGCAGAAAGACTTGGGGGAAGAAAACTTTCCTTTGATGAATTTCACAAGAGTTAGTGTGAATCATGGAAGTTGAGATTTCATAAACTAAATGCATGTGGTAAGGAGCCCACGATACAAGCCCATAAAACATCCAGAAGTGAAAAAGATACCTTTTTTTACTTTCCCATTAATATGGATGGAAAGGGAAGGTGTATTTTAAAACTACATAAATGGAATGGCAACTCTTTTAACATGGTAATGCAGTTGGGCCACTGAGGTAGAAATGTCTTTGAAAACAAGACATTGACACACATAAGACCTCAGCCATACCTAATGATGTACAATATATTACCTGAGCTTTTTCTAATTAGGAGCTTAATTTTCCTTAAAAGGCAGTAATGATTTGTACTGCTTCCTCAAAGTAGTTAAATTAGGTCTTTACACAAAAAAAGTGTTGTGTTTGTTTTTTTTTAGTAAGCCTGATTTTAAAGACAGGTTTTGTAAGAAGTTTAAAATATTCCACTGTGAGCACTGAGACAGAAATCCACAGGCTCTCTCTTCTCTGGGCTAGAAAACATCCATTTAATTCTCCCCTTGAAGATTTGTGCAAGAGGTTCTTAGGTAAAGCCAAGTGCTTGTTAGGGATAAAGACAAGAAGATGTACATATTTTTGCTAATTTTAACACTGTTTGAAAACAGTCTTCTGGTACTAGACTTCTTTATTAAGTTCTCTAAAGCCTTTGAAAAAGAGTTTTCACTCAGTATGCCATTCTTTGTCAGCATAGGCTTGAGGTTTATTCCTTTTTCTCTGTCAAGTCCACAGATGTGAACAATAGTTTTTGATGACTCTGTGAGGGGCTAAAAACTCAGTGCCAGAAAGAAAATCTAGCTGCATGCTCCCTCTCAGGCAGCCCCTTTCCCCCTTCCCACCCTTCCCCCACCCACGAAATGCATCCTGTGACTCCAGACAGTGAAAAATTAATTAAACTTTCCAGAATGAAACTGGCAGAGGCAAGAGAGCTAGGGCTAGAGTGTCTGGATGTTGTACTTCCCAGGGTTGGGGGTGGAGAAGTGCCAAAGCAGTAGGCTGGGCTTGTGGTGAGGGGCTCTGCAGGGCCATGCTGGGCGCACACATGCACAAACAGGCCCCACGGTGGAGCCCCGCGGGCCAGGCAGGGTCCTGGGGAAGAACCCGTCCTTCGGGGCCTCGACAGGCTGTACTCCATCTGGGGCTCATTCTCTGGCCACGTTTTCCCCGGGACAGGGAACATTCCTCCTTTTTATGGCAGGGATTAACCACTTCCATAGCACGGGGTTTATGAGGAACATTCTTCTCCTGGCTGGGCCCCTACCTTTAACCTTTTAACTTTAGTATCATGATTTTTCACAGAGAATGTGTAAGATTGAGTATGGTTTTCCTGCAGAGGAGCTTGTAAAATTTAGGAGGAGGTTAAACATTTGTGCAACATTTCCTCTGTGGCCTAGCAAAGACAATTCATTTTGCCGATATTTGTGCATTATTATGGGAGAGTTTTGTTTTGTTTTGCTTTCTGTGGTTGTCTCGTGAACATGTGCTTCTTATTCTAGATATCTAAACCTTTTCTCCAAAGACAGGCTATTAGACAGGAGGGTGATGAACAGCACAGAGCAGGACAGAGGGCTCCTGGACAGTCTTCAGTGGGGCGGGCAGCCCAAGGACTTGCAGGCCAGAGCTGGAGCAGGGGGCAGCGATGCCCAGTTCTGAGTGGACTGGTGATGTGTGGCCTCACTGGAACAAGGTCGTTTCCCATCAGGGGACCCAGCCAGTCCCCCCTCCCACTCGCGCTGCCAGCCAGCCACTCTGCTGTCCTGTGTCCTCTTCTTGATGCCCTTCAGGGGACAGAAGACAGGGCATTTGTACGTTGCACACTGAGTTAGCTCCTGAGGTCACAGGAGAAGCCCAGGGGTTTCATTTCTGTTTTTCAAGTGCAGCGCCTTCATTTTTAGAGCAAACCTAGTCTTCATGTCAGCAAATGTTTGACCACTGGCTGGATGCAGAGCATTGTACAAAGTAGGTTTATGCGAAGCTGTTCAACAGCTTCCTTGTGCAAACCCTGTGCCTGCCACTGTCAGCCCTGGGGGCTCTGTGGGGACCAAAACAAGCCCAGTCTCTCCCCTCGCAGACAGAGTACAGAAAGTTCACAGATGGATGGCACAGACCTGCTTTCTGGTGCTGAGGGCAGGCACACACGTACAACCCAAGACATGGCTCGTTTCAGAAATGAGTTGGTCACAAGATTCTTGTGTAGGAGGTGTGTTAATGAGCATGTGCACTGTCCCTACGGAGCGTACAAGACATTCTCTAGACAGCAAATGGTCGAGAGGAGGCCACGCACTTATTCTATAAGCAGCGATCTTGGCATTGATATGTCTTTATGGAGTTCATGGATGTGCTTCAGAGGGCCTAAGAATATATATAGTAGAGTTTTAATTGAGAATGGGAGTGAGTGAAAGAGAAGAAGGAAAAGGAATTTCAGAACACAAAATACGTGTCATGTGGAAAATAAGCTGGTTCTGTAGAGTGACGGAGTGGTGAGGGAAAAGGGCCTGGGGTCAGGTGGCAGAGGGTCAGGAATGTCCACTGCGGGGAGAGCAGGGGCTCTTGGGGGGTTTTGAAGAGAGAGAAGGCATGCTGTGCCACTGTCACAGGATCTTGAGCCCACTGCCTTTCTGTTCCCCTGCCGATGGCTGCCCCCTTTCTAACCCAAGTGGGCTGAATCGCCAGCGTGCCAACAGTGTGAGCCGCTCAAACATGAGGTTGGAACTGAAATCGCGAACAGAGTGCTCTCTCACTTCATCACCATGTTTCATAGTGATCCCCCAAATGTCCTTCAGTTTTATTGGTTTGCCCTAAGTTGCAAATTGAGTACATAGCACTTTTGGAGCAAGGAGATAATATATGTCTCAGGCACAAAAAGTTGTGGACGCTCGTATGAAAAATCATACCAGATTCTGACAGCAAAACACTCAGAAAATCATGATTATATCTTAGAACGTGAAAAGGTCAGTAACTACCCACATGATTCCAAAGAGAAATGAGGGACAGTGAGCCTGGAGAGCTCTCCCTGGGATGGTGGCGTGGGGACACTGACCCAAGTCCAGTGCTCCTGGCCCAGTTCTCAGTCCCCGCCCCCACAGAAGGGCCAGGGCTCGGGCTGGCTGACATGTCCCCACTTCTTCCCCAGCTTTCTGGTGGCTGCGAGCTGACCGTGGTGATCCACGACTTCACCGCATGCAACAGCACTGAACTGACCATCCGCCGGGGCCAGACCGTGGAGGTTTTGGAGCGGCCCCATGACAAGCCTGACTGGTGTCTGGTGCGGACCACCGACCGGTCCCCAGCCGCGGAGGGCCTGGTTCCCTGCGGCTCCCTGTGCATTGCCCACTCGAGAAGTAGCATGGAGATGGAGGGCATCTTCAACCACAAAGGTAGGAGCCCACGGGGCGTGGATGGCAGGCACCTTGGGCATGACTGTGGTGTGCCTGCGCCGCCTCTCTGCCACCCCTTGTACTTCCGCCCACTCTCCCTGTGTCTCCAGGCCTCTTTACTGCATTAGGAGCTGAAGTGGAAAGGAGGATTGCACCTGTTACTCAGAAATAACGAATAACCTCTTCCCCAGAACAGTGTGATACCAGCTTAGAGAAGGAGAAGGGGGCCATTCTCTTTGGGCTTGTGCCATTCATAACTGGATAACACACAGCAGGTTCTGTTCTCCTCCAGGTGATGTTGAAAACCAGGCAAGTGAGGCCATAGCATCTTCTTCAACAGAAGTTGACACTGGGGATGCTTTATGGTGTTAGTGTTAACATGCCAGAAAGCCAGGCATGCGGGCCCCGAGTAGACAGCCAGCTTTGTAGCTTTGTAAGGTGTCTCAGGTCATCCCAAACTCCCGAGATTCCTGCAGGGACAGGGACCAGAGCTGGGCCCCAGGGAGGTGGGCCGAGCCAGGCTGGCTCAGAGCAAAGGAAGGCGGCTTTGGAGAGAAGCGCTTTAAACCCAAGGAGCAGAGCACTTGCACACACAGCACCTGGCGACCCTTGGTGACTCCTTTAGATCACAGTGACTGTACAGGGCCGCTTGCCATGTGTCCACAGGGGCCTATGATGGGCTCCTAGTGGGAGTGTGAGCATACTTGTCCTGCATGTCCATTGTGGTAGCCACTGGGCAAACGTGGCTGTTAAGCATTTGAAACATGGCCTGTATGAACTGAAATGTGCTTCAGGTGTCAAATACATGCTGGATTTCAACCATTAGTAACAAAAAGGAATGTATAATTATTTTATCGTCATTACATGTAGAAAGATCATTACAGAGTGGGTTAAATAAAATGTATTATTAAAAGTAATTTCACCTGTTACTTTTTAAATTGTGGCTCATGAGAAATTTTTAAATTGCATCTACAACTTGTACTATACTGTTGGACATCCTGATTTGGAGCAGTGCTGACTTAATCATTCATAGTGAAAAGCTTATTTGTGTCTTTAAGCCCTTTTCAGAAATTTTGGCCTATAACTTCTAGGAAAGTGCAGAATCAGTAGTGTTTATATACTGTGAACAATATTTTATGTCACAGTCTTCATTTCCCTGTAATAATGGTAAATGGCTGATTGTTCCAGATTTGTGGATACACAATTTTTTCCCCTCCCTGAGAGATCACTCTACTCTGCCATAATCAAGATGTTTTCTGTTAATTTTGGAATGTTCCAGTTGCCCCCTCCATTTGTCATCTGTGCCCTTTTTACATTCATCAGCACATGCCCTGGGGACCCCCCTGCAGAGAGGTTGGTCACTGCATTGAGCTAAATGAAGCTACACAGGATACATAGCTTACTGATGAGCTCATCTCATCAATTATAGGTGCAACGTGTTCTGGATCCTTCAGGACCTAATATGGCCTTATTGTCACCTCAGTAAGAAACTAGAGGAATTCAGCTTTGGGCCAAAAGCCAAGGTGTCCACTCTCATTTCTGGTGAAGTTGTCCATGCGTTTAGAGCAGCGTTGGGCTTCCCTTCATGTGGCCCTTGAGAGTGAGTCGAGCTCTGTGCTGGGCTGCCTGTTAACCCACTGCCAGAGCATTTCCAAAGTTGCATAATATATTTAAGTCCTTGATTTTGAGTCACAAAGTCCCAACTTTTTTCCCGAGTTCATCTATTATATAGAGGAGCATGCTGCAAATAACGCTTGTTCTGAAAGATTTCATTTTCTATGTACCTTTCCCGTGGCGTGTTCTTTACTTCCTGGTGTTCACAATTACAGGCTAAGCAAGAGGAGAGAACTATGTATTTATCCCACTTTGTCCTGAAAACTTCTTATGGAAGTTGGGCTTTTGCTTCTTTTTCAAGTTTAAGTACCATTTTATTCCCTAAGTCTTTTCTCTCTGCTATTCTATGACATTCTAGTTCCTGGAAAGTTACTCCATGCCCCTCATAAACCCTCTAACACTCTTTCTTTACCAAGAAGGTGTTTCTTCATTGAGTAAAACCTTTTGTGAACAAACAGCAAGTCAGTAGACAAGGTCTTGGAACCTTAACTATTTTTTCCTTCTTTCACACTTTTATGCAAGGAACTCTTAAGACCATCTATTCCCTTACAGTGTTAAGGTCCAGGCAGTAGACTGGGGAAGGAAAATCCCCCCTTGAGCTCTTTGACGAGCCTGTGCCAGAGCATCATGCCCATGTTCAATGTTAGGAAATCAGGCATCTGGGGGAAGGGGCCTTCAGCAGCTAGTCGGGGCAACAAGGGATGGAGATCTAGGACTGAAGTCCAGCAGACGCAGAGACTAGGAGCAAGAGACCGCTGCCATCCCGAAACAGGAAATCCTGATTTGTTTCTGCTCAGCTGCACAGCCGTTCTTACTTACTCTTGTGCAAAAAGGAGTGCGAGCCTTTACGATTGTTCATATACTGGTGTGGGCTGGGCTGCATGACTGTACGTACACTGGTGTGGACATCTGCTCATCTGGCATCTCATCGTAAGACCCGTTTCCCTTTGAGAGCCATGTAGGCCTTGCATACAGCGGTGGGGGGTTCCACATGACCCCTTCTCTCTCCAAGGGGGGTGGCCAGCGCCAGGGCTCTCCTCTCGGCGCCATCGCCCACTCCAAGACTCATAAGCGTTAAGCAGTTGTCCGTAGTCCCTTGCGTAGTTTCCTAAATGTCTGGCTCGCACTGCTCTGACCCTCCCGGCAGGAGGAAGGAGCACATTTCCTCCGGCTCCAACATGCTCTGTGCCTTAATGCCTCATAAATTTTTCATGACTTCCCAGTCCAATTAACTTAAACTTCCACACATTTCAAATGTAAAAACAATGCCTATTAAGGTCAAATGTCTCTTTATTTGGTTGTGAATTATATTTTAAGAATTGCAGTGTGACCGTGATTGCAAATCCCTGAACCAGCCAGGAAGGGCCTGGTACCACCTGTGAGCACCCCCCAGGCTTGCCAGGCAGCCTTGAGGCATGTGTAGGAGTGGATGTCCGTAGGATGGTGACAGCGCTTGGAGTTGATGAGCACTGGGTTTCTTTCATGGTGTTATGTGTACCTTGGTGATGAGGGGAAAGGATAAAAAATACAACTTACTTAAAATGAACAAGCAATGTAGCTGCACAGTATGTTTTCAAGATACTTCTGGGTCTGAAACTAGACTCCAGTGTCAACATCATGCCATTGAAAAACACATTTTTGGGGGGCAGACCTGCATGGACATATTGCCGTTGGGACAGTCTTTGCAGACAGGCAGCCTTGGTGTCTGGGGTTCTGTCTTGCCCTCCTGCCATTCTCCCTACTTCGCAAATTAAACGAGCACAGTCAGATAGAATCAGGATTCAGCCGATCCTTGTGTTCACCCGGCGTTGTTTGTGTTTGTGATAATACCATCTACCATTACGTCAGCGCCTCTGGGGTTAGGACCTAGACAGAAGATTTTGTACCGGTAAGTCTGTCACTCAGCCACGATTGAGGAGCCCTGACCCCCACACTTCTAGTATATAACACATGGTTTACTGCTGAAATATGTACTTCAGAATTACCTTTAATCTCTTAGTAAGTCCAAGGGAGTTTTCTTTCATACTGTCTCAACTTGCAAAACTTGTCACTTTCCTCTGTTTACTTAGTCTTGGTCACAGAATGCAAACAGGAATATCAGAAATGTATGTATTTCCAATGAGGCCAATTAAAACACCGCTTTTATGATGCCCCAGACTGAGTAGTTCAGCTTTTTCTTCACAGTCAAAACTGCCCCCCACAATAGTGCTTGAGAGGCCAGCTCCAGGGTCCAGGTGACAAGCCAGCGTGCGTACCTGGCACAGCGCAGGGGCACCTGGTGGGGCAATGCCCAGAGCTGGTGGTGGGAGGAATGGAAGTCAGCCAGAAAAACATGGTTGTGTGTGTCTGTGACCAGGCAAAGTTGCAGCACATGCTTTCTGCAGGCTTCATACCTGCAGGACATGGTGGCAGCCTTTTGGCTGTATTTGCCTTTTTTATGGGTAAGACTAGCATCTGTCATTAGTCTCCGGGAGGTCCTTCCATTGTGCTCACACTCGGCTCATTGCATCTGAAACACCACCTGTGCAGCTACGTCATGGCACACCTGACCCCTAGGGTCTCCCGCTACCCAGACTGGCTCAGTTTGGATGAAATGGGAAAGTCACTTGCAGCCCCCACTGAATTGTGGTGTTTTTTCTTGTTGTTTTCCACTAAATGTGGCTTTCATAGAAGACCTTTTAGTAATAAGGGTGACATTTGCAGTAGAAGCGTAGAAGAGGCAATATGTTGAGCTTGCAGAGTCTGTTCTTTAGGTCAGGACCCGAGTTCTGATTCCACCTCTGCCTTTGGTGACATTGCAGCTCTGGGCCTGGGGCAGAGGAGAAGTGGGTGATCCCTGAGACCCTCCCCGGCGCTCCCATTCCATGTTCATACTTCTTACGGGGCGGGGCCTCTCTGAATAGAGGCCATTGCCGGTCCCTGCCCCCTGCCTTTTCTGTATGCTAACCCGAAAGGAGATGGGAGGGGCTCTTTTTGCTAGTTCTTTGATACATTTAGAAGAAAATACCCACTTACACACTGTAGCCTTAACCTCTCTGAGGTTATAAAGTTTTGTCTTCTTGGGATAGTGTGTAGTGCAGTACATTCATTGTATTTCAAAAAAATTAAAAGCATGATTTTTTTTCACTCTAAATTTTTTGTGGGAAGAACAAGGGGACAAAGACATAAGGAATAAAACCTCTTGCTTGCTGGCCACTTGAGCCTCCACACCCAGGGGCTGCAACTCAACGAACTACATTTTCTGAAAGCAGCCTACCAAAAACGATCCTTCGTGTTTCCTGTTTGCCACACCGCCTGCAGGAAAGTGGGCACCCTCAAAATCAAGTCTTGGTCTTGACCTAACTGGCTGCATGAAAGAGAAGACCTAGGAATTACCATTCGTGAGA